TTAAAGTTAAACAGAAAAGAGTCACAGTAGCTACATTTTATTTAAAAAAATTTTCCCCAAATCAATACAGCTTTTATTGCATCTTTAAAATTCACAAACAAGTCTGATAAATCGTCTGGCATCTTGGTATTTCTGTAGCTAGACAAGTTAGATTTTATTCATCAGCCTGCTGAACTGTTCCTTTTTCAGAAACATAGATACCATCCAAAAATTTTCTGATATCCTTGTTTTTATGTAGGTACATTTTAAGTGTTTGATAGCCACATGTGGCTAGTGGCAACCAATTTGGACAACAGATATAAAGCATTTCCATTATCAAAGAAAGTTCTATCCATGGGACAAGCTTCACAGAGTCAGTGCACACCCGTGTCACCTTGCTGTGTCTTTATTATTTTTCCCACCTTTGGGCTAGGGAAGGGTAACTAAGCCACAACCTAGTAACTATTTGGAAACGTTTGCTTATGAGATCTGAAGATGGCTCCTGGTGAATGTAATTGGGTACATTTATTTTACATCTCACTTCAACTTTCTGCAAAACAAGAAAAATGATGACCTCCATTCTCTAAAGGATGGTGTAGAGGATTTTGCTAGAAGGGGGGGATATCATCTTCTTTATTGTGGACATTTCATGTTCATGCTACAGGATAGATTCCTACAAGAAGAATTTGGGTCGACAGGTGTGAATATATTTAATCCTCTGCAAAACTGTGTTTCAGAGAGGTTGTAGCAACTTCCTTCTTATTTGAGAATGTTTTTCCTACTGCTCCCTTGACAGAATTGATTATCATTTTAAAAATTTTGCTAATTTGAAAGAAAAAATATGGTGCCTTTAAAAAAGATTTTATTTTGTAATTACTAGAGAGGCTAAATTTTTAACTATGTTTGCTGAAAATTTCTTTCTCCTTGTGATCATAGAACATAAAAGGACAGGGTAGACCAGTAGTTTTTTGCTGGTAGTATCTTTACTTTATAAAAATAGTCCAAGTGGTACATAGAACTTTTTTAACTGTTATAATTACTATTTTTGTTTAAGCTTTAGTATAGTGTTACTTGGTTTCTTAGTCTGCTGTAATTTTAAAGAAAAGTTATTATTGTATACTCAGTAGCCATAACAGTAATTTTACATCTAGTAGAATTGTTACTATTTTTATCTGATAAAATTACTCTTTTAAATTCTTTTGTACTTAAGATATTGCAATAAAATGTACTTCTAACAATATGGTGCAGTTTTAAATGTCATTAAAAATAGTCACAAATGATAAATATTATAACAAAATTCTCATATATGTCTTTGAATAGCCTTCTTAGAGAAAATTGGCACTTTTTTTTGGGGGGGGCACCCTGATTCTTTGACAAAGGACCTAGTGAAGTATAACAGAGGAAATACTGCTATTCACTGCAGTAATGATTGAATTTACATGGCTAGCTAATTGTAGTTCTGGGACCAGAACCCAGGTTTCCAGATTCCTTGTTAAGTTCCTTTCCTCCTGGAAATCTCCTATTTTGGGTAATCACATAAACATTAGCATTGGAAGTATCAGTTTCTGTATAATGCCCTCAATGGTAGGTCTTTTTTTTTTTTTTTAATTTTTTTTTTCAACGTTTATTTATTTTTGGGACAGAGAGAGACAGAGCATGAACGGGGGAGGGGCAGAGAGAGAGGGAGACACAGAATCGGAAACAGGCTCCAGGCTCTGGGTCATCAGCCCAGAGCCTGACGCGGGGCTCGAACTCACGGACCGCGAGATCGTGACTTGGCTGAAGTCGGACGCTTAACCGACTGCGCCACCCAGGCGCCCCTTAATGGTAGGTCTTTGATGAGAATATCTAGTCTATCCACATAGCAACAGCTGCTAGAGATGATGGACATATTACACACTGAAGGAGGGGTGAAGGCTGAGGGTGTTCTGGAGTGATGGGGTAAGTAAAGGCAGTCAGGGCTCATCTGGGAGGACTGCTTTGTGCCACGAACTCTTCTTTGCCCTTGGACCAAGGCTCTTGGTGACCCAAATATGTGTGGGTATGGTCCCAACACACATTTGCTTTTATTGGCCCAGTTTGCCTTCCATTCCAGATAACAAAGAAGACTGGAAACTTTCTGTAAAGAAGAGGTACATTTTTGTTAAACTGGGGTCTATAGCTATTAGTAATGGCCTGGGAGGCAAGCTAAATAAGAGAGCAGGGCAGTATATGTATATTAGGAGAATCTTATGAAGCTTTGTAAATTTCTCTAGACACTCATGATTTCATATGTAGGAGTGTATCTCTATTCATTTTCCTGTTCTTTAGTAGCTCATCACAATACATTGCTTGTATGTGTGCTGAGTAACTGTGGAATTAGCAACTTGTTAACTTATTAATAGACCATTTCTAGATTTGGGGAATAATCTCTGTATTAAGTTGAGGCAGAACGTCTAAAGGAATAAAAGTCAGGTTAAGTGACTTAGGAAACTTTTTATTTGTCTCCTATTCTTTTCAGCTCTACTAAATACCTTCTTACTTCTAGGAAGTTTATGTGTGTGTTACAGTCCGAAGTTTGACTCTTGGGAAAAATTCACATATTCAGTGTTTTACTTTCATAAAGGTACATGCCATTTATTCTTATTTTTTTTTTTTTACTTTTACATAATCACTTTTTCCAAATGGTAGCAAGTTAGATAAATTTTAAAGACTTATTACCTTGTAATGAATTTTATCAGTACATTCTATACCTTTATACATATATAATACACGTTTCCTGAATAAATTCATTAATGATGAATACAGTTAACCCTTGAACAACGTGGATTTGAAGTGCACAGATCCACTTACATGCAGGGCTTTTTCAATAAACACAGTAGAGTTCTATAAATGTATTTTCTCTTCCTTACAATTTTTCTTAATATTTTTTCTTTACTGTTAGAGTACAATGTAGAATGCACATAACATATATGTGTTGACTGTTTATGATAAATGTTAAGTGATAAACATTACAACAAAATGCTTCAGATCCTTCTATCTGAGCACAACCCATCTTATAAAGTCTAATATTATACTCGAAGCCCAGAACAAGTACTAGATGGTGATTGCACTTGTGATCCATTTTCTCTGCTGGTTTTTGGAGAATGATGGGGAACCACGAAATCCAGAAGTCAGACACATGCTTTGTCAGTTTCACAGCTCCCAAATGTTGAGAGTATCACATAGAGTAATAGCCTTGGGTGGGATTCCGGCTCTTTGTTTCTTACCATTCTTTTCTTGGCTTCCTGTTCTCTACCCACAGGGCACGGCAAGACCTTCACTGCTGCTCTTGGGAGTGTTGACTCACATGTGACAAAGGGCCTTACTTTTCTCAACCTTGGTGAGTGAGAGGGAGATGGGTCTCTGCTCTGACACTCCTTTCTAGTACATGTGATACTCAGCCTTTTATATCTCATTTGTGCACCCCATTTTCTCCTACCTCTTCAGGACTTGGATTGTGAGGACAATCACTGACCTCTCTGAAACCTGATAGGGGAAGGTTTTCTCTGGACACATTAGCACCCGTAATTTGTCTGTTGTTCAATAGTCAACTGTATTAAGTTAGTTAATATTTTTATAATATATTTTTTCCTGACCTATGTCTTTCTCAAGACTTATAGACCAACCCTAATGGACATATTTGTGTCCCTCCATCCAGATCAGCCTTTTGTGGGGGGGATGCATCTCCGTTTTTAGAGAACACAGGCTGTGAGCTTTCCTATGTTTTTAGTAGGAAAGAAGCCTGGGCACACATCTCAGCCCTTCTGAGCCTCAGTTTCATTATTGATTGTAGAGAGGACAAAGGTCTTTGAAAAATCGTCCATTTCCTGTTGCTAGAGCCTTCCAAGTCCTGTAAATGATTTACGGATCAGCTTGAATGTGTTGATTTTCATTGAGTAAATATGGTAAGGGAACTTGAGTGTTAGGTTGGAACATATTAATGGAATCTATAATGAAGAAAATAAAGGAGTTTATTGTACCAACCTCCTGAAAGCTGCTTTTGCATGTCATTTGGGGTGAGGGTCACAAACAGGTTAGCACAGAACTAAATAACAGAAGTATTGCTTGCCTACCTAAGGGACATGACAATATTTAAAAAGAAAAGCTTCAGCTTTAGAGCACATGATTCTTTGATGTATTCCCCTATTCTTGTTCCCCAGTCCTTCTACTGTCATGACAAAGGCTTAGGAAGGTGTGATGTGAGGGAACTTGGCAAAATGAAAATGAAAATGATAAGAAAATACATAAAAAATATTTTTCTTTTGAATGATACTATTGGTGAGGTATCTAAGGCTGAGTGGGCTAGTATGTGGCAAATGTTAACATGAGCTTTGAACCTGTGGGAAATTACTTTAGAGAGAGGCCTGATTCTACTGCTTCCTGTGGTAAGAGAGATAAATATAAGGTTTCCTGGGTCTGAGACTTGATTATTATCAAGTAGCGAATGCTACATCAACATCCCATCTAAGAGTGATAGGGGAAACTTTCCACTAAAAATAACCTTAGCATTTTGTGAGGTCAAAGGTAGCCTTCCTTTTTTTCCCCAGAGAGTGACTTTAAAAAAGGGCAGGCATGATTTAATCTATGGTCTTCAGACCGTGGAGCCAGCAGAAATACTAGAGCTTTGTAAAAATAGGCTATCTTACATAAGTTATCTTTCCTTCTTAAACACATTTTATCTCATAGGCACAAAATTATACCCAGGATTAAAACTATTCCAGAAGTAATTTTTATGACAACAGTATTGCTTTGTGAGTGATGTATTTTTTCCTATAAATTGCATGCAATTTTCCTGATTGCTACCCTATTAAAAGGGGGCTCATATTGATTAAAATACTAAAGGATTGGGCTTTGGGGACGTTTTCTATAAATCCTAAACACCTCTATATAAGAAAGATACATTGGTAAATAAAAAGCTATCATTTTGAAAAATGAATACTATATGCTAAGTTTGTTATTTAAATTATCTTGATCCTTAAAACAGTTCTGTTTGGTGATGTTATCCCCATTTTACAGATAATGAAAGTGAGGCTCAGAAAGGCTGAGATGTGTACCCAGTCTTCTTTTAGTGTCTCATGTCAGGGGCACTGTGTTAGTTTCTTATGGCTGCTATAACAAATTATCACAAATTTAGGGCTTAAAACAACATAAATGTTGTCTTAGGGATCTGGAAGTCAGAATTCTGAAATCTGGAGTCTTGAGGGGCTAAGCCAAGGTGTAGGTAGAAATGGTTCCTTCTGGAGATTCTGGAGAAGAATTCATCCTTGGCCTCCCGCAGCATCTTGAGGCCAGCATTTCTTGACTTGTGACCGACATGACTCCCATCTCTTTCATCCTCACATGATTTTCTCTGTAGTCCAGTCTCCCTCTGCCTCCCTCCTGTGAACACATTTGTGGTTCCATTGGGTCCACTTGGATGTTCCAGTATACTCTCCCCATTTCAAGATCCTTGATCCCATCTGCAAGGTGCCTTTTATCACTTAAGGTAACATATTCACAGGCTCTGGGATTAGCACCTGAACATCTTTGGGGGTCAACATTTGGCCTACCACAGGTACTGTTGACATTTTTGATGAAACAATACTTTTTGTGTGAGAGTGTCCTGCACATAGAGGGATTTAATAACCTTTACTCCCTACCACGCCAATGACTGGGACAACTCAAAACACCCTGACATATTTCCAAATGCCTTGTCTCCCAGGGACAAAATTACCACCCTAATTAACTGGTTAAATGCTACGACTAGGAGTTAACTTAGATCATTTGATGCCTAGACCCTTTCCACTGTATGCTAGTATATCATTATTTGTGTCTTTCTACTTAAATGTTACCATAATAAGAATATTATTGCAACCATTTGTGCTATAGACTTGAACATCACTTAATCCCCTGTGACTGAGAGGGCACTTCTAAGTCAAATCATTCAAGTTTTACATCCTCTTTCCCTTCCTTTCCACTGAATGCCTTCTATGCAAATGATTTTTTTTTT